TGGGTATTTTTCACAATCAACCTCCAAGACAGAAACCCCCTTACAGTGAAGAAAAGAAAAAGGATAAGAGTTTCCTTGTTTGTCTCTTGAGGATGGACTCTTTTTTTTCTTTGCCTCACACTCCTGCCCGTGTCCATTACATGACATCTCTAGTGCCTTTCAAATATTTCAAGCCATTTTTGGAAACCCCTACCTGGATTTCTTCAAGTTTTTCTTCCGCAGTGGCCTAAGAGCCTCTGGCCGACAACAGGCTGATTTGCAGTTGATGACCTGGTAAATAACAGGGTTGTACATGGCTGCTGATTTAGCAAGCAAAGTAGGCACCACCGAAACTTTTATGGGAACCGAATCTGGTTTTCCAAAAGCTGACCATACTGATACAACTGCATATGGGATCCAAGCAATTAGAAATCCTGCACAGATCAACATCGCCACCTAGTGGGAAGAAATGCATAACATAGGCCAAGACAATCAGAATAAGAGAAATAACAAGAGTTGGAAGGGACATTGGAGGTCTTCTAGTCCAACCCCCTGCTCAAGCAAACCATGTCCATATAACAATATTAACAATAATAATTCACTTATTATATGGGAGGCATTGTATTATTGGAGACTGTTCTCAATCAGCAGAGCAAATTACCACAGAATTAATGAGAAAGTTTGTGAACAACTATTTCCATTTGGTGTGACAGGGAGGTGCATATGGCCTCTTAAAACCAGGGCAATCATTGGAAAACAAGAGTACACACTAGGATATATTCCCTCTGAGATAAATCCTATTTGATTCAGCAGGAGTTATTCCTAAGTACACATAAGGCTTCAGTCTAAAAAAAAAAAGAATGAAAGAAGGCAGAGAAATAAATTCAATCAATGCAACTAGAGTGAAACCACCTCAAATGAGATTAAAGTTGCAAGAGGTCTTTGTGATTTCTTATGTTGTTCTGGAAAGGGATGAAACCTGTGGTTATAAGAAAGGACTCACTGTTTTTCCTAACACATTTGTCCTGAATGAGAAAGAACTACATACATCACTTTACCTGTGCTTAGTTTATGTGGCCCATTTGAAGTTTGGGGTAGAGGTGTATTAAGAAATTATGCTTGCCATTTCTAGGAGCCTGGCTATATGGATATCCTCCCTATGGCCAGGTTAAATCCTAACACATTTACCCTCATTCAGGATAAATGTGTTAGGAAAAACAGTGAGTCCTTTGTTATATCCACATCTTACATCCACCAACAGATATAATATAATCATTCATTACATCAGGTTGTAATTAGTGGTAGCAATTCATTTTAAATATTTTTTTTCTAAAATAAAATGAGGAAGAATAAGAGAAATAATAAATTTTAACTGGGTAAGAATACATTCACTTGAAGATAATTAGAATTCTCTATCTCACTGGATATTGGGGAGGGGGGTTGGGTGGGGAGAGAAATGTAATTTGTCCTGAAATATTTGCTTCTTTTTACACTAAAGGGTTGTATGATTGCTATTGAATTAGTGTTTGAAGGAGCTGGTAAGTTCAAAGGGAGCTCTATCTAAAGCACGGGATCTGGTTAGTTGACTTCTTAGTAAATCATCCCACTAAAGCTTAGTGTGTTATGAAAAAATGCCCATTTGAAATGCTCCAGTTGAATAATAAACCTAATAAACATATTTTAATTCAAAATTTGTTCATAGATTAATATGTGAGAAACAGAACTAATGGGAGTAGATTTTCCTGTCGCTTCCATGCTGGAGGCCTCTTTTCTCACTACTGTGCCTATGTCTCCTCTGCCTTTCGCCTACCCATCCCTGGCCATGGACTGACACAACCACCAGTTTTCAGTGTAGCCTTTGAGGGATAGTCTCATGGGAAAAAGAGATGGGCAGTTCCTGTCACACATGCAGTATTACCTGTGTAGCTGATTCTTTGATTCAATTGTGTTAAGTCCAAGTTCATCTATGCTAGTGTTTTATCCTAGTTGTTTCTCTGCCTTCTGATTAACTTGTGCTGAATGTGAGTCCCTCTATATTTCTTCCCCCTTAGGTTACTTGAATAACTTGTATTTTGCACCTTCTTCCTTCGATCAAGTTGCGTGTTACCCTTTACAGTACTACTACTTTATTTTTCCAGGGAGAGGGATTTGGAAATAATGTTTTGCCTTATTTCTGTACTTTCTCTCTTACTCAGGTTGAGGTTGGATAAGAATCTTCCCGCTACCTCTGTCCTCCACATCTTCTATCTCCTCCTTCCCAGCTCCTGCTCTTTTTCCTTCTTCTCCCTTCCTTGGATTCTGGGCTCTTTTGGGATCCTTGGGAAGATGGAGTGACAGAGGCTGCTTCTGAGCAGGAAGCAGGTGGCTGCATCTCCTGCTAGGGGAGGATGGCTGAGGCCAAACAAGGGAAGGGAAGGAAGAAAGGACTTGCCAGGAGCATTTAGGCCTTCTAGAGCAGGGGTAGGCAACCTTTTTATACCTACTGCGCACGTTTGTATCTCTGTTAGTAGTAAAATTTTCTAACTGCCCACCGGTTCCACAGTAATGGT